TATTGAACAGTGGAAGCCCCACGGGGAGTGTCTACGAAAGGGATGTTAATACTGAACTTATCCTTTACTACAAAATCAAAAACCGTACGCCAGATCTCGATTCCATCACGACTTTGAATAATGCAGCAACTAAGGTTCGGTTAAAAACGGCTTACATTGAACTTACGGTTTGTTATAATCCAAAAGGGGACCAGGGTCTCTGATGTAAAATTGTCTTCAGAGTACTTAAAAAAGGATCTTTAAAGGCATCTTAGAGGTCTCAGCACCTGCTGTGCAAGCAAGCCTGCATCACTCTCTTGGAGAGCATTGTCATGGGTTAGCTAGCGGTCACTAGGGGAGCAACAAAACGGTAGTTTTCGCCACACTTTACGCGTTAATTTTCTTCCGCGTGGATATCAGCCAGACAGGTCGACACCTTGACGCTCCCTTTACCGAGCATACGCAGAGTGCACTGCGACAGAATCGCCTCATCATTGTTTCAGAGAATTTGCAGGAATAGGGGCTTACTACCTCGATTTGGATACCGCTATAGGTGTTAGTAGGATTCTCAGCCTACATTCGCCAGAGGTTCCTGAGACGCGGTACACCGAGTATCGAAAAAAGACAGTGTCGACAAGTCGACACTGCCCGAGGCCTGCACATCGGCCACACCGTCCACAAAGCACAGGGTCATGACGCCAGTACGTCAACCGCCCGCCCACCAAGGTTATTATCGATCGGAGCCCGCCTCGCATTTTCACACCGGTTTGCAGTCCTCGCTCTGAGCTTTCCGCCCACGCACGCCACCTCCTTCCTGCCCTAATCGCCAAACCTCAGACCTCCCTTCGATTGTAAACCCGCCCGCGTGCGCCGACCCAGACACTTAGTGTCGTGGTGTGCAGTAATGTACAGTTTTAAAAAATACTACCTCCAAAGGGCCTTGTGCTTCCAGTGTAGAATGACGCTTTTAAGCCAGCACTGGGGATCATTATCGGAGATTGCGAACTTAGCAGACTCGCAAGTTATTTGTACCTATTATGCAGCTAGGGCCTTCAGTCCTGGACCTGTTTTCGTCGTAAATAGACGTGTAGCACCGCCTATATTTGTAGCGATGCATATGCAGAAAACGAAGTCGACTGCCTGTTGGAATTCCAAAAGGATAGTCAGGGGTCTTCTTGTAGACTACCACGTCTACCAATTACGTGCTCAAACCTTTTTCTCCTTTCGGGCGACAAGGAAGTGTTTCCAGACATATATTTCAGTATCGAAACTGGGATGTTGAAATTAATGGGAGGGATTACAGAATATCGGAGATGGCGATGTATAGAACCGCAACCAACACGCATCAAGGCCAACCCTACGAAGTAATTCCGACGAAGGTTCGTACATCATAAGCGATCATGACGATCAGGGCTCCGAGAATTTGCCGTGTAACCTCCTTATGATCTACCCCGCCCTACAGTGGTATTCAAATTGCTTACCGCCACCACGACTGAGTTATCTCGGCTGGAGAAGGGCATGAAGGCAGTGTCTGATGTGTTAAAAGAACCCCTTACTCCACATGGATCCAAACTCGTCAATTCGGATCTGTCGTCTGTGAAGATTAAGCTGAAGGCCGCACTCGGAAAGTGCCATTGAAATTTGACCGCAACTCCAGGTGGGAAACGGGCTGTGCTGCCGGTTGGGGACATTTCCACCTTTAAGGTGCCCCGCCAAAGAGTCTGAGCAGAGCCCGCTGAAGATATAATCTGCCGCAGTGGCTGAATTACCATCAGACCATTCTCCGAAGTACGCCAGTAAACTTACTTGGCCTTCGTAAAAATCTGATTAAACAACGCAGCCCATTTTAAGCCCCCGATCGTTATCGCGCAAACGCAGTTACGCCTGTCTAGCTCCAGGCTAACAGAGCAAAGCTAGCCGCTTTACATGGGGATTAAGCTCGGATAATGGCGCCGCCTGTTGTCTAGGTAGGGGTGTGCAGAAAATTTTTGTGAAGGCAACGGACGACCACATGAAGCTCATTGGTCAGGTGGGGCGGAAAAAGCGCTTGTTAAGCCTTAATAAACATGAAGAAAGTAGTCCCCGGACAACAGTGTCCTTTTTCCTGCGGGTTCAGCGTCTTTGATGCTGTTGCTCTACAGAACGTTGTACTTCGACCGGCAATTGACCACACACTGTTCTGTTTAGCTCACACCTGCCTGCTTTTTTGTTGGTTTCTCGATATCTGATTTTGGGACGCTGGTTGCTTGCCGTAGCGAGATAATGATTAATTCTGTGAAAATATACCTTCGAAGCCGACTGGTAGTCCAGTAGTCCGTCTGGAGTGCACCAACATTTTGTCCGGCTTTCCTTTCCTTTCTTACTTTATAGATTAAATTGCCTCTTGAAACTGAATTTGTCCGATATTGTATTGGCGAATATGACCTTTTGGGTAATGGTTGTGGCAGTCAGTGGAATGCCTTACCTTTTCACTGCAGTCTGTCGGACCCAGACCACAGGGTGATTGATGAGAGCAAAAATGCAAATGAATCTGATTTCGGTGACATCTCCGCGAAAACACTTAGTTTATACCCTTCGAAGTTAGTTCTGACTTTTCGCCAGAATGATATCCAGGCAGTTCTCTCTTGCTAAAAGAGGAAAAGGTATTTCCGTGTGCCTCTAGGGTTACGTCATCTGAAAATTCTTTTAAATCACTCTTTCCGGCCTCTTCTGACAGTTGATGTCTTCTCCCACCCCCTTGACTTCGTCGGTGCATCTGAATCTGACATTTTAATTCTTTAGTCTTTTTCTTCAAATCGTCCAAGCCGCATTTAAAAAAAACTTGTGTCGTGGAATGCCGCAGCCTCTTTTTCGTCCATCTTCCCCTCCCCTCCCTTCCTCTCGCTTGGAGATCCAGGTTCATACATTGGGAGGCCCCTAGTTATTCGTACAGCTAGAATCATACTGTTTACTGGTGTTTTCTCTCCACTTTAAGGCACTCTTCACCAAAGACATTTTGCCAATAAAGACAGGGACACTAGAAATGTGAATTCCCGCCGTCTTCAACTCTAGGTTAGAATCCCGAGTCAATTGATTGACGAACAACGCTTTCACTGGCAGAATATTATTACCGTTATTGTCGCTTTTTAATTCCCTCAGAAATTATCTGCGAAGTTGGAGTAGATCAGTTTATTCAAGGTCTATAAGCACAGAGAGAGAATTTTATACATGAATATTTGGGCCAAAGTCCATCAGCCACAGAGGGTAACCGTAAAATATTCGTTAACTGCCGACAGGCAGCTAGTAGTATACTTTAGAGTAAGGTGATGCCATACTAACAGCACAGGTACTAGTCAAGAGCCCATACACATGTGTTCCGCCGATGTTTTGCCGCTGCATGGCGCAGCTGCGAGTCGTTCGGCTCGTCAGCGGGTCCCCCAGCATTCCCCGTGTGGGACTTCAGCTCAATTATTCACGTATCAAATTCTCGGTCTGTGCCTATAGACCTTTAATAAATTGATCTACTCCAACTTCGTAGATGGTTTCTGAGGAAATTAAAAAGCGACAATTTCTAAATTGGATTATCTACCAGAAAACACACGGGAATGCTGTAGGACACACTGACGAGCCGAACACCTCGCAGCTGTGCCATGCACCGGCAAAACATCGGCGAAACACGCGTGTATGGGTTTTTGGCTAGTACCTGTGCTGTTAGTATGGTATCACCTTACCCTTATTACCGTTTTTATTGTCCTTGTCGGTAATAAAATTCTGCCTATATCATGCGCCGCTGTGTGGCTGCTGGTTGGGCTCGAGAGAGAGAGCCCAAAAGGCACAAAAGAACGAGAGAGTTCCGTAAAAAACGATTGGTGGGCGCCCCTCCACCAATGCTTGCATTACTGGGCTAACGAGCTCGCGTCGTGTCCGCTGACATGGGAAGAGAAAGAACGGCGTGCAACATTTTATCCTGATCAGAAGAAGAAGCGATCGCTGGAACAATGGCTTTATTCGCCTTACATTTCGAATTCTCACTTGAACCCATCATCAGAGACAGTGGCAGAAAAGAATGACTCATGAACAGGAAGTTGCAGTATTTATAGGATGCTGTGGCTGTGCTACCGCATACCTATAGCAATTAACCGCGTTCCCCTTCGTCAAGGATTGTTGCCCGCTGGTGCGCTAATGGCTTGATGGCCGGCATGCAAGTCGTTAATTGTTGAAATCTCATCACCCGTGTTGGATGCTAGCACGGTGGTTGCTCGGCCATCTGGCCCACCGGCTAGCGCGCTCCCCGAGTGGTCAATTACCTTGGCCAGCCTATACCTCAGCACGGAATATGGAGTGGGGATGTCGTTGAACTTGTTGATTGACTGAGGTCCCGTAAACCATGAGTCATGCAACTCGCGGCTCACACGATTATCCCCTCCCGCGAGAATTTCGGCCTCATCGAACTTGAATGCGTGGCCGGGTCTGGTTGAATGGGCCGCGACCTGAGAGTTGACGTCATTTCCCCGTACCGCTGCCGCGTGTTCGGCAATTCGCGTTCGGAGCAGTCTTCCAGTTTCTCCGACGTATTTGCTTTGTCCGCAACTGTATCTGATGCGGTAAACGACTCCAAATGTTTCTTGCCGTGGGAGTGGGTCATTTTGTCTCATCACCTGACGCCTTATGGTGGCCTCCGGTTTGTGTGCAACTCCAACCCCAAGTGGTGCAAGAAGGTGGCTGACGGCCTCAGAGACGTTCTTGATGTACGTGATCGCTCGCCAGAATTTGGGGTCGGCACGGTTTTGTCGCTCGTCTCGTTTGCGCATGCACCGGCTGACGAAGTTGCGCGGGTAACCATTTTCTCTGAAAACCCGTCGAAGATATTGGGATTCGGCAACATTGTCTTCTGGTTCACTGCAGTGCGTCTCAACACGCCGGTATAGCGTTCTTACGCAACTGCGTTTGTGGCTGATTGGGCAGTTACTGTTGAAGTTCAATATTTGCGTCGTGTTCGTCGCTTTTCTGAACACTTTGGTCTTAAGGCCACCACAATCTTTGCGACAGACGAGGGCATCAAGGAATGCCAGCTGGTTATTTTCTTCCTCCTCCATCGTAAATTGTATGTCCGGGAAGACGCTGTTGAGACGTTCTTTGAACGTTAGCACCTGATTGCGCTCGATGACGATAAAAGTATCGTCCACATACCGAGCCCAGAATTTCGGTTTGTGGTGTTGGAAGACCAGCGACTCCAACCGCTGTAGGACCGCCTCGGCGACGAATCCCGAAATCGGCGAGCCCATTGGTGTTCCGTCCACTTGCTCGTAGATTGTTCCGTCAAACGTGAAGTACGTTCTGAGACAGAACTTTAGGAGCTGAAGGACTTGGGCATGTCCGAGACCATCCTCCGTTTCATTGTATTTGCTCTGTAGGAATAGCTCGACGATTACAGGACAGAGGCAAATATTTCCGTTTTACCTTTCAACATTGATATCCGCCCGCGGAGCCGGCACAGCACCGGTGTCTCGCACGTTAAGTAGTTTATTGTGATGACAGACTTGCGTAGCGCCTGCCGCACCCTCTCCTCCCTCACCAACCTGACAATGTCAGGACGACGGGTGGGCACGGACGCGACGATTGACACGGTTAAACAACCAACCTGCACGTGCTGACATCAGACATCGAGATGCCAACCCCCCCCCCGGGCTGCATATTCCTTGCGTGGCATTTCATGACAGCACAACCAGTACTTTACTTTACAACCTGGATTCAGTTTCAACAAAGTGCACTTTAGTAAAACCTTTTGGGGGTGGAGGGGGTGGAGTAAGCTCATACCATTGCCACAAACTCCTGGCTTCGGTTGCAGAATGCTAGCATCACCAGACTGAATTGCCTAGATAGATGATGACTCGCTCTTACCAGTCAGTGGTCACTGACAAAGTTCCATTACCAGCAACACTGTACTTTGATGTACTTTTGAGGCATACTTTCGGATTTCCTCGTGTGTGTATGATTTATGATTTACTGCGAACCTGCCAAGTTACTACAGTTATGTTTTACCCCAGTCCACAAGCCATACACACCTTAAAGACACATAACTCCAATCCCAGTCTTTGGAATCCAAAGGTGCGCCAACCAAACTAGGCGAATGTAAAAACTAGTGTGGTGTTGGTAATTATGCATCGGAGTGGCTCATGTAGTCTTGCTTTTACTCATTATGTGAGATTTTGCGAACTGAACCACAATGTTTTCTCCTCCATTAATTCTTGAGCAGTATTCTGTCTTACATCAGGAATTCTGCCCCACATAACCAACATATTCGGACCCATTCCCGTGTTTGTTAAAGCTTGGTGATGAAACTGTCTACGGCTGACGTCCCTAAGTTCATGACAAAATCAGTTTCACACGGTGGCAACTCGGTTTAACGATAGCGAACTTCGAATTCTCCGCTTCCATTGATCCAGGACACTTTATTATTCCCTGGCTGGACTCCTTATAAGAAATAAATAAACCAAATCAATCCTCCTCCTTCTCCTCTTTCTCCTCCTTCTCCTCCTCCTCCTCCTCCTCCTTCTCCTCCTCCTCCTCCTCCTCCTCCTCCTCCTCCTCCTCCTCCTCCTCCTCCTCCTCCTCCTCCTCCTTCACCTGGTCCCGGTTTCAAGACAAACCCAAGAAGACCGGAGGGGGGGAAGGCGTAGGTGGTCGGCCCGGCGAAAACCCGCCCTTAGTCGTACGACCACACCCCTGGCCCATAACGTACACTGACCAAGATTTTATATAAAAAGGACAGGAAAGGGGGAACGGATTGGATCCCAATCTGCGCGGCGATAACCTCCAACTGGACGTGCCACAACACTCCCTAATGTTGGCAATTGTAACGCGTACGCATTCCCACCAATGCCCGGCGGACCTCGATCTAGCGCCCCTGTGTTGGTTCGTCGCATCTACCGCGCGACCCCTTCCATGAACAAAGCACACGCACACGCACGATAGTTGGACCGCCGTTGCCGACGATGTCCACCGTGTACTCCACAGCAAGGTGAAGCAGGGACGGTGACTTGCACGTGAATTAGTTTATAGTGATAGTAAACTTTCGTGGCATCCACCACACTCTCCCCTCCTCCCCCACCTGGGCCCTGTTTCAAAACAGAGCCAAAAAGATCGGAGGCGGGGGAGGGCGCAGGTGGATGGAGTCGTCGAGCCCGCACCTTGGCGCTTCACTCAACACCCCTTGGTCTAAACAGCAAATGACCAGTATTTTAACCAACAACATCAACGGGTGGACGGCAGGGGTCTCAGTGTGCGCGACGTCAGTCGGCAACTGGGTCTACCATCGCATCCCCGAAATGTTAGCATTTGTTATGGTGCGCAAATCCGATAACGCCTGCCAGAATCCGATACGGCCCCCGTATTGGTCCAGCGCATCTAGGTAGTGGTCCGTTTGGGGCACACACACACGACAGTTCGACCATCGATTTCGATTATGTCCATTGTGTGCCCCATAGACTGCATTGTGGGAGCAGGGACGGTGACTTACGCAGGAGTTTATAGTGCAAGTGGACTTGCGTAGCATCTAACTACACTCTCTCCTCCTCCTCCTCCTCCTCCTCCTCCTCCGCCTGAGCCCGGTGTCAAGACCAAGTCGAGAAGACCGGAGACGAGGGAGACCGCAGGTGGATGGCTCGGACGGATCCTCGCCTTGGCGCTCCACTCCGCACCCCCTGGTCCACACACAAAGGACCAGGATTTTGACCACAAAACAATGGGGTGATGACAGTGGTTCAGTTGTGCGACGATTGTCGACAACAGGGTCTGCCAGCGCACCCCGCAAGTGTTGGCATTTGTTATTGCGCACAGATAACGCCTGCCAGAATCCGATGTGGCCCCTGTGTTGGTCCAGCGCATCTAACACGTGGCCCGTTTTGAGGACACGCAAACACACACCTGAAACAAAACATTCGCCTCCATTCAATAAAGCTTGCATTCTTCGAAGTGTTGCCTTTTTTCAACTTTTCGCAGATAGTGTAAATACTCTCCTTGAAGGCGTTCTGTTTAATGAACTTACCTAATGAAATACCTAGACTAGCTATCCAACACAACCACGGACGTGAGGCATGTTTACTTGACTGTAGGGCTATGGAGGCGACAGAACAGCAATTACGGCGCCGAAATGTACGCATGAGTTAAATTTAAGCCATCGTGTGCAAACATTTCAGTTTTTTCCACGAGGTATTGTAAACAGAAACGGACGACAAGCGTCAGAGAGGCATGGACATTTTCAGCCAGAGAATGAGAATATTCCATTGATCAGTTGACAGTCATGTGTGGAGACGAGACGACGAGGGATCGTGAAAAGGATTGAAAATCACCAGTGGGGATGTGGCTGTTCCGTTGTTTAAAAGTCTTCAGAGTAGGATCATTGATGGGACAGTAATTTTGCGGTTGGTATTGTCCGATGGTAAGCACTCGCCAGTCACACGAATCTTGTCATTTAGTACCAGCAATGCTCCACTACTGGTTGATTGTAAGTAGGTCGTAAGGCGTCTGTCATTGCCTACTGTGAGTTAAATCTGAAGTCCGTTCTTCAGGCGAGGCTAGAAGGTTTTGCAAAACAAAATGCCCTACACACAACGACAATGTATTTTTGACAATCTCCCGATCCTTCAGCGGCCAAAGAGACTGATTCACATGCATTTTAGGCCGCGTCATGTGAATTCGTAGTTTTTTATCCAACACTACTTAAACGGGGTTTCAGAGCTGAGTGATAGGGGACACACTTCTAAACCTACTTTTATATAGAAAAGAGCTGGCTGTCGCAGATGTAACTCTCTAACTACCCTTATGCCCACGGAAAACTCATAAATGAGCAGTTTGCGTGTTTGCAGTTGATTACAACTTTGTTTTTCCGTGGAAATGCAATAAAAGACTACTCTCTCGTACTCTTTCTGTCAAGAATCGAGTCTTTACTAATGTTTTGTCGGAAAATGCTCCGCAATTCCCGACGTTAAAAACATCTTTTAAGTACGAGGATTTTTGCCATGATGGTACACTGGTGATTCATGCCGTTAAGTAGAATGATTTCGTAAGAAAATGGCTTCGTGATAGGTTCCCTGTTAGGCAGATTTTCAAGCTCAAAGGGAATGGTCATTTCATCTGAAGCATCCTAGTATTTTTCTCAAATTTTTCATACCGGTTTAAAGAGGTTAGTTATCTATTTCCCGGCAATTTTTTTATGAAAAGACGTCTTTGTGGGCAGAAAGCAGCCCGCATTTTTGAAGAACTATAATCTGACTATTTTCTGCTAGTTCTTTTTTTCTGAATGTATGCACAATGTAATAACCGAATGAGTCTCCTAAACCCACTTTTCGAAGCAAGCCCATGATTGACGCAGAGATAAGAGAGACATTGTGGCAGCCGCCCACAGTCAGGCGACCATAATCATCAAAAAGGATTTATTTAGATCTGCCGTGTAACTTTGAATCGGAACATTTTCGGTGAGGCTGGGCAAACCTTTTTCAAGTTAATCAAATAGTTTCGTTGAGTCGCAACTCCACAGGGCGGGAACATTTCAAATTATAATCGGGATTTCATTAAAGAAAGACATTCCTGCATGCAGCATAGACACCCACACCCCAAGTGCAGAAATGCTTGGCATTTTAAATTGAGGAATTCCCATGTAGATTAATAAAAAAGTCGAAAAGAGTTAATCATAAACGCGAAGGTAGCAGACATCCTTCTCTGCATTGCAGAAACCGCCTTGGCCAGTATAGGATTGCAAGGCAGACGTGCGTTCTCGGAAGTGGTGTCATCCTTGCGAAAAATGCACAGGTGTTTGAAATTGCCTGGTTTGCACATGAGCCTTGAGCCTATTTTCACTCTTTTCGGCTCATCTGTACCCCGAGTTACGAGAAGTTTGTTCGACTTGGCCATTGCCATATTTGTAACAGGTCGGCTTGCATTTACAATTGCATTCGGACCGTCTTCATTTGTATGCTTTGTTCTATTTCAAAAACTGTTCTTACAGCAACCATATAACAGATTCTATGTACAGCGTGACTTGGGCATTGTACAAAGCACTTTGATATGGAGACTAGTCAGGCTGTGGTCCGTCAGTTTTTCGGTAGGCTGAGGTCAAGAACGTACAGGGGACCGTGTGAGAATGCTGATCATCAGTTTTTGCGTATTGCGGACAGAATGCCAGCTTTTTGCTTTGCCCCTCTAAACATCAGACTCGAATCCGCATGGGGGGCTTTTAATACAGTTTTACCTTCCTCAAATGCAGTCAGTGACTGATCTCCTGAAA